GAGAGAGAGAGAGAGAGAGAGAGAGAGAGAGAGAGAGAGAGAGAGAGAGAGAGAGCCCCACTCGCGCGATATCCACAGCGTTCTCATCTTAACGACTCGTCTTTATCCTACCCAGTATAAATTGCACCGGATATTATTTTCGTCGCGAGACTCTCCGAAGTCGCGCGATTAATCATGTAACTTAATGCAGGGACGGTTTAACTTAAGGTTGGGGCGAGTTCCCGACCACGCTGCGATCGTGCGATTTTGTGACTTCCGCTTCTTCTCGATTAACTCTCGAATATACATATATCGTCCCCTTTTCGCGACATGACGCAAAGCTAATCTGAAAGTACAAAGTATGATATATAAATTACGATAATACAAGCTTCGCTCAAGGAAACTTAATGTTAACGAAGTAGATATTATGCTAGACTTCTGATCTTCAACCTACTGAATTACCTATAAATTTTGTATAACATAAAATAACAAAATACACTGGAAAAAGAGTTTAGTTGCATTAATTGGAGTTCTGATAGAAAATGGACAAATCAGAATTTTACAGTTAAATCTGTATTAGAACTCTAGTTAATCGAGATAATCAAACGAGAATCATCTGATGAGAATTCTGATTGTTATAGTCAGAATCTGCTGATTCGTTCATTTTCAATCAAAAATTGTTCTCTGTAATATAAAGTAACAGCTACGAACGTAATTGTGAAGTGGTATTAGATTATAAATTTATTAATATATGCATATTAACGTGGAACTATACTGAGAACAGTGTTCTGATTAAACCAACAAGAAAAACCCAACCAGAATAGCGTTTTGATTGGACCTTTTTGTTGATTTAACCGTAACATTTTTCTTTGTATACATGTCACTTTTTTATACAAATTTTTTAAAAGTCCACTTTCCGATGAAATTTCTGCGAGAGTTCACTTTAGAGTTCGTTTACACGAAGAGCTATAATCACGCAAGGCATTTACGTCCGCGCCGGTCGATAGATGCGTTATCCGTCTATTCAACCTTAAAGGGGAAACAATCAAAATAAGAGTAATAGCGGCCGAGCTGTCATCGTGTGCGATACTATAAAGCGGTACGTCTTTGTCGAGGTCGATTTTCTGCACGTCGATCGACGGGGACGTTCGCATGAATTAATACAATGCAGCGGTCGATTGGGTAATAGTTGATCGATACATTTAACGATTATCCGGTCTATAACCACGAAAGAAACGATGTGAAATGGAGAAACAATTGCGCGAGCAACTATATTTTATCTACTTATTTTTTTTTCTTTCAGCTCAAGCGTTTCACTTGTTTCTTTTTGTTATTTGAAGAGATATGAAACAGTATTATAAAACCATCTCTTGTATCTGGCGATTTATAACATCATTAAATTTTGAAAAGAATTTCGGAACTTGTAAAGATAGCGTCGATCGCGTAAAATTGATTGCCAACATAAATTCACGTGCGCGCGTCGAAACATTATATTGAATTACATTAAAGAAAGTCCGACGAGTCATTCTCAGTAATTTATGTTAATTCTATTCCTCGCTCTAAGAACCCGTGCTGGGATCATTTATCTCCCATCGTAAATATAACAACTGCTGTTTAATCACTACTTTTACGCACGTACGACGAATCGATATCATCACGATGGAATTTTAACAAGTTACACATTTGTAAATCTTGCCAGTCATAAATAATTTTTATCTTAAATTATTATTCTCTTTTTCGCGCAATATTTTGTCATTTGCTATTCTCCCTTTTTTTTTTTTTTTGTTTGTTTCTATTTCCCACGTCGACCATCCACTGTCACGGTTTGCACGCGGTCGTGTGTCACGTATAATGTTCCGAGAGGACTCGGTTTTTAGAGAACACGGAATAAATTCTACTGTACTCTCTATTGGGAGATCCGTCGATATGTCTCCCTCTCCTCGTCCAAATCTCCCCGTTTCTCTTTCTCGCACCGGTCTCGCTACTGACGCGGGGCGGTTGGACCGCGGCCAAAATGCCGCCGGTAAAATTAATCGTTGCCTGACACGAATTCCTCTCTAAGTGGGAATACCAATTTGTAGGTGCGAAACAAAGAGAGAAGGAGAGAGAACGTCCCGGAGGGGACGAGACGAGGAGGTTGCGCCACGTCGCGCGCCCGGGGTGAAAGCCGGAAGGTGGAGAGGAGGGGAAGGAGGAAGCGGGTCTCTAAACATGTCGTTATATCGAAGCTAACAACCCGGTTTACGCTGGCTCTCGACTCGTTCTTGAGTTCTCCCAAGAGAACGCCTGCGAGCAACGCGCGCGCGTTTCGCTGGTTATTGGCCGCCGGCCAAGTGCTCCTGAAGACTTATCTGGCTATCGAGCATTGTTTACGAAAGCAATGCGACTACAAAGTGACTACGCGCGTAGTCTTTCGAATAGACCAGCCGCGACGCCAAATTAATGCTGCCAAATTAATTGGAGTCTCAAACGGACGACCGCGCCGTCCTGTCTATCGTATCTCGTAAGATCCGTAGGTGCTTTTGTCTCAGTCTTCTAACTTTACTATATAATTCTGAATTGCTTACTTTACAGGATTTTCTCACTTTCTTCAAGAATACACAGCATATTTTCCTAAAACAACTTGAATTTTGTCTTTACCATTGTCTCATGGTTGTTAAATTAATTAATTACAAATATTCTAAAACATGTAGATGTGGATTTAACGTCATGCCAATGTTTATATAATTCTCATCGTGTTGGTGTTGATATAAACTCCAAGATGGTGTGGGGATGTAAAGTACTAGTTTAAATAATTTAACACCAACATAGTGTTCAGTTTACCATGTTAGTGTTGATGAAACATCAACATGGTGAGAATTTAACACCTATGATGTGAAATCTACTATCTATAGTTTTTAAAGTGAATGCATATACAATATTATTGAAACGCTCTAAATAAAATTAACTTAATTTTCACAAATATATTATTGGTATTTTTGAGTTTATCGAATAAAATTTTTTTTTTCGTGTTAAAGGTAACAATAGAAATTAAAATAAAAAAGAAGAGTGTTTAAAATTTATACAATATCTTATTAAAAATATTTTTTCCTGTCCTTGCGATAGAACGCTCTTAAATATCAGGTTTAAAAATAAGTTCTAGTTTATAAGAGAGCAAATAATAAGGGTTAACTAAGATATTGTGCAACAGCGCAATATATCTATCCATAGCAAGATTGTATAACAATTTATATCGTAGATAGGTTATTATTATAGAGAAATAACGATGATCATCTCGACATTTTCTGAAACAATAATTATGCTACTGGAATGCGTCTCATATTAACGACGAATGGCATTTCTATCAAGCTAAGAATGTGTTGCCACGTCTCGGCGTTGTTTTACAAAAAAAAAAAGAACGAAACGAATTGTGCTTGCCTTGCTATAATGGAGTTGCTCCATTCTCGTGTATCTATTGTTATCTTATATACAGAATTTACGATATATACAGAAATATGTATACTGTAAGCAAGTAATAATAATTATTTCAAGTATTTCGAAAGTTTATAAGTCCTTCACAATTAATTGATTCACATTAAATTTATTCAAAATCTTTCTAATAAGTTTAATACTTTAATCATGTTTATTAAATTAAATTCGATTTATTCATTATATAAAGTAGCTTTTTCGATTAATTTTATAATGTTCTTAAAAAAAATTGTTTGTAATATATAACGAGTTTTTCCGAAATTTGTAAAAAATATCTATATTTTAAAATTATTATAAAGAAGATATTCTTTGTTAAAGATACTCGTTACTTAAAAGTAATAAATGATAGATTTTTAAAAATAAATATACAAAAAGACTCTTGTAAAATTATAATACTAATGAGTGCAAAATTAGAAAAATATAATTAATTAGTGTAATGAAAATATAATTAGCGAAGCTGAAATCTCGAAATAACAGGTGAATATTAATCAGACATCCCGGAATGATTGCTTCGGCAAGATAATCTTAAGCTAATCCGTTGTGATAAATTAATCGTTACACATTTAACGTCGACGTTGATGGGAATCATTTACGTTGTTACAGATCGGAAACACGTCGATCAGCCGAGGCGCGGTTCCGTCGGGAAATCGAAGGGAAGAACCGCACGCTAGGCTGACTGGGAGGATCGTTTCGGGGGACATGGCTTAACTCACGACAAGTGGGAGACAGGTGGAGGAGCTACCATCCTCGGGTCTCAGGATTCCGAGAACGCGGATGGTCGCCGAGATTTCCTACGACGTTGGAAGTAATCACGAGTGGTGTCGGGTGGTGTGTTCGTGATCTAAAGGGGGGGGCTCAGTGGCTGTGATCGTGGTGTTGTGTCGGGGATCAGTGTGTCGTCGGTGAAGAGTGGTGAGAGGTATATCGGGTTACGAGTCTCAGCTACGCGAGTAAGAATTAACGACAGGGGCAAGTGTGGTGAGGAGAAATCAAGGTGGATAAGGTGTACACGCGATAACGAAGAAGTGGAAGAAGACGCGAGGAAGAGAGAGAGAAAGAGAGAGGGAGAGAGAGAGAGAGAAGAGAGATACGGCTGGGATACATCGCAAATTACGTCGAGCGAGAGTAGAAGCGAGAGAGTGAGTGATGTGTTCGATGGACGAGGCGCGTCTCGCGGGCGGTGGTCGGGGTAATGATAACGCGTGTAGTCACGCGCGCTACCACTACTATTACTTGGTATCCAAAGTGAGAAACGGTGGGCAGTCGGTGACCAGGCTGGCGGGCGCCGGGGAAACGTTTCCAAGGGCATGGCGACCACGCCACTAGGCGGTCGCCTCCCTAACGTAAACCGTAAAGGACCATCTCCGTGCATCGGTGGTGGTGGTATTAGTAGTAATAATAGTAATAGTAACAACAGTGGTGGTAACGGCAGCAGCAACGGCAACAACACCAGCAACGGTAACAGCGGCAACAGCACCAACAACGGCTTAAGTAATAACAACGTAGTCAGTCAAGGCGGTCAGTCAAGGAGGCAAGAGCGAGCGCTGATCGGCAGGGAGCACCGCGACCATCGTCACCATCACCATCACCATCATCATCACCATCATCACCATCATCATCACCATCAGAATCGGGACAAATCATCATTGTCATCGTCGTCGTCGTCGTCGTCATCTTCGTCGTCGTCGTCGTCGTCGTCGTCGTCGGGCCAGCAGCGTGAGTCCAATAAAACAAGCACAGTGGCTGCTAACGCCGGTGAACTGGATCCGGCCGCGACGAATGCGACCAATAACTTTGAGTACGACGACAACGAATGGGACATTGGCATAGGTGACCTGATAATCGATCTTGATGCGGACATTGAGAAGACGAGGGACGAGAAATTGAGCTCGGGGACAGGCATGGCTTCTACGCCTGCCTCGGCAGCATCGGCACCGAATAACGCGAATCATCATCAGTTACAAAACTCAGCAAGTGGTCTCAACTCAAACTCCTCGTCCTCGTCCGTCCCGTCGACTGGCACGAACGCCGGAGGTCAATCGTCGTCGTCGTCGTCGTCGTCGTCGTCGTCCTCGTCATCGTCGTTGTCGTCGTCCTCTTCGTCATCCTCATCCTCATCGTCCTCCTCTTGCGGCGTGAATTCAACGCGTTCCAACAGTCCCGGCAGCGGCAGCGGCAGCGCGAACGGCACCGGCAGCGCGAACGGCGCCGGTAACGCCGCGAACGGTACCGCATCCGTAGTCACCGGTAATAAGCAAGCGTCGGGTGTGAACGTGAGCGGCGTAAACGCCGTCCACGCTAACGCCGGTAATCCCGGCAAGATGGCCGTTGAACATTCGGCCACCGTCGACAAGGGCCTCAAGATGAAGATCAAGCGAACGAAGCCCGGCACCAAGACCAGCGAAGCCAAACACGAGATCGTTAAGTCGAACGAGATCAACGGTACCGTCTCGTCGCAGGACTCGAACAACGGCACCGCTGCCTCCTCGACCTCCTCGTCCTCGGCCGTCGGCTCGACGTCCGCGTCGGCCGCGGTCGCACAGAACTCGCAAAATTCGGAATGCGGCGCGGCCGGCGGCGGTCAGTCGTCTTCGTCGAATAAGTCCAAGCCGAGTCACTCGCCGGCGTCCGCTGGCGGCACCGGTGCCACGCCCTCGTCCACCGCCGGCTCGAAACGCGGCTCGAGCGGCCATCGGCGCGACAAGGCGCGGGACAAGCACGAAAAACCGCAGAGCAATCACACGCCCCAGCAAACGAAACCGGAGATGAACGGTACCGCGCGACCGACGCCGCAGGGTCAAAATTCGGCCGGTGGTGCGACGCAGTCTCAGGGCCCAACGCCGGCCGCCACGGCGCCACAACAGACCCAGGGACCACCGCCCAGTTCGAGGACAGGTTTCTCCGTGTCACAAGGCCCCGGGCCACCCGCGACCAGTGCGGCGGCACCCTGTCCGCCACCGAGTCCGGCGAGCGCCACGGCGGCCGGCGCGGCGGCCAAACCGGAACAGACCAAGGTCGCCGCGGTGCCGGGTCCACCGCTCACGACACCCGCTGAGGAAGCAATGGATACCGCCGCTAGTCCTCCGCCTGCGAAAAAAATGAAGACGGAACCAAAGGTAAGTTACTTGAAATTTATTATTCATTCTGTCGACCATTCGAGTTAGTCGGGATTACTCGGAATTAGTAGAACGGGTTGTTTTTATTAAACCTGTGGTAATTTTTTTAATGTCAATGAAGACTTCATAAATTTTAACATCCTGATATTATAATAATGGATTTAAAAGTTGATTAAAATTTATTCATTGTTGGTCGGCTCGAATAATATCTCGTTATTCGTTTTCTGAAAACATTAATTTATGAGAAACTATTTATCTTCTTTGGTTTATTTATTGCTTGAAAATTATTAATTGCTAAATATCGCAAGGAATAACACTTTCTATGTATATATTGTATATTGAATCTGGGATATTTTATACATATTAATAGTATTATATTATTCAGCGCTTCATTCTCACAAGAAAACACATCGTATCTAAAGTTACTGGTCGTGGATCCAATTTAGCAGCCGAAGCTGTGCTTGCTTTATTAGACTCACACTAGTCCGACAATGACGATGGTGACGATGATCGCGTACCTTCTCAAATTTTGATGAGCTTTCAATATGTTGTATTCTGCATTGAGAATCCCATTTGATTAAAATAATCTCTTGTCTGGATATTGGCAAACAAATCCTTGATTGTTGCAATAAAATAATTTAGTTAAAGCAAAAAGTTTGATTATTGTGTAATATTCTATGCTAGTTTCCGATGACACAAGTAAACTGTTAAAATAATCAAATTTTTTTCTTCAACTAAATTGTTTTGAGATCAGCTGAGTTAATCAAATGGGATTTTCAGTGTAGACTCGCGTAAGAGACACATATTTTTTATTTGTGCCTATATGTACTTTCAGAGGTTGAAATATCTCTACAAAAAAAATCTGTTATTTTCTTTCGAATATCGTCGATGTGAAGAGAAAAATTTTTTTGAAATAAAAATTGTAAATGATTTTCAGAGAATTCTATAATAATTTAAAAAAAAATGTTTATTTGTAAACACTAAAAATTTCAAACAAATTTTGTATGATTATTATACGATTCTCTTGAAACTATTTTGAACTTTTATTAAAAAATTTTTTTCCGTCTTTTGCAGTTTCACTGCAATATTCGCTTCGAAAGAAAATAGCCAATTTTTTTTCAAAAGAATGTTTCATCTCGTAAAAGTGCATTATATGAATAAAAATATGTATCCCTTATTTTAATCTGAAATATAATATTAAATATTAAATATTAAATCGTCAAAATCAGATGGAACACTTCCGTGTGTTTCCTCCTGTCAGTCATAAAGTATCCGTCATTAGTATCGCGATTTTGAAAACAACGGATACGTAATGAATTTAAACTAATTAATTTTTCTTTCTCTTTTGAGAGGGACATGCTGAATTAAGTTTACGGATTTCCTCTTCCCGCATAAAATTGCGTACACAAGCATGTTAGTCGGGATACAAACAGGGGAATTCTTTTTATCTCTTGCACGGCGCATTCCGGCCGGATATGTAATGTTGATTTCCGGCAGCTCGTTAGTCGCCACGAGCTCGAGCAGCCCCTCCTTCGATCGGTATCTTCGTCTCGTCGGCGGCGACGCGTAACGCCCGTACGCACCTAACTTGCTTGCGGCGCGATGAGATGAGAGCTGACACGAAATCAATTACATAAGTTCATATGCATAGAATGCGGACCGATAGTCTGCGTGATGCACGCGCGTGCATGCGCCAATATTGCGTTCCGTTGCGTGCATCGGGGAAAGTTTTGCTTGAAAAAAAAAAAAAAAAAAGGAGATTACATGGAGGAAAAAAATACTTAAAATGTTACATTAGAAACTCATGACATGCAGTTAGTAAAATAATGGATCATTAACAAGGTAAATTTATTCAAATAAAAATGAGTAATTTCAAATGCAAATGAAAGAATGCCATTTCCTGCAATAGTATATATATATTTTTTGTTTTTACATATGATAGACGATTCCACAAAACGTAATAAAATACCATATTTTTCTATTTTTATCAAAGTATCTAGGATTGGAATAAAATTGTAATTGAAATTGAATTGAGTTGCAAGAATTCCTTTTTATTTTATCTATTCGTAAATTGAACAGAAAGATATTAATGAATAAATGATGAAGATGCGACGATATTTTTTTTCTATTTTCGTCCAAATAGAAACTTCAAAGAATCAATATCGCCTTGACGTGCTTTACGTATTTGCTTCCGTTTTATTCTATGTTGGGGTACGACTATCGCCGTGACACTTGAATAAATAAATCCGCTTCTTGAACGCGACGGGAACGTTATTGTAAAATACGAGCTTTGGTTTCTGTCGCGAACCTCTGCGTTACGCGCATACGTATATCTGAAAATAAACGCGAAGCGAAAAATATCGTTTGAGAGATACGGCAGAGCGCCATAAATAAATCTCATCCGTGCGCGTTTCATTCCCCCGATCCACAGCCATCAAAAGTTGTGCATTATTTTCCCTCGAAGAGATCTACCAACGTTATCGTATTTTACAGTCGACCGGACACGACGAACGTCGGATGGCTTTTCTTATTGGGTGTGCACGACAAATTTTTCTCTCACAAACTGGATCTTATCTAACTCTGATCACCGTGCTTGCCATGAGAACATACACCTTTCAAACCCAGTTTTTCATTTTCTAGTTAATTTGTGATTAACGTGATGATAATGTAAAAATAGTATTTTTCTAGTTGTTATACTCTAAAAAATGTTGATATGGATTTATGCGGTGTTAAATCCACATTAACATATATAATTCTTGTTATCATGTGTTATCATATAGACAAAATAGATTTTTATTATATGACTAAAACATGAGTTTTCAAACATTGATTAAACTTTAAATAGGTAGATGAGGTGTTTTAAAAGTTTTATCTTTATAGTTAATATCTTTATAGTTAATATAGTTATATTTTTAATAGCGTACGTAGAGTTAAATTTATATTATTTATACTCTTGAGAGAGAGAGAGAGGAATTTATTCACCTACTTAAAGGTTAAATTAAGTTTTTTGTATTAATATAAAATTAACGTAGAGCACTAATTATAGTGACGATTCTTATTAACTCTAATTTTGAATTGTTAAACATATGGAATTAAAAAATTTTGTTTTAATTTTTAATTCTCATTATGTTGGTGTTAATAGTTGTTTTCCATTTACATTAAAAGGATAATTCTCATTTATGACGTTACAACTCAGTAGTTCAATGCATGTTCCATCTCATTCTGATGAGTAAGATAGACTGAATCTCACTGAATTAAGTTTTTATAATCTGCACAAGTTCTAAACCGTGAACTTGATTGTGAGTCTTCTTAAAACGCGTAGCACAGACTTTTGCATAACACTGTATAACACACAAATCATAATGGGCTTCCTATAATAAGCCATTATCTAAGCTTTTAAGTCTTAAGCCGCAAGAAGAAAATGACCAATCACAGTCAAATACAAAGAGAATAATCGACTATGATTGGTCAATTTCTTGCGGCTTAAAGCTTAAGTAATGGCTTATTGTATAATAGAAAGCTCATAACAGAGTCAATTGATTAAAATATGAAATAAAGAATTGTGATTAGTTGATTCTCTTATGCCTTACGCGTTACGCAAAGTCTGTGCTGCGGCTTTAACTTACATTAAAAGTGAGGTAATAAACCTATATGTTACAATTTTGTCAAAAAAATAAACAAGTATAACGTTGTTACAGTATAAAATGCTTACTGAGTCATAACTTTAGACTGAGCATTACTTGTGTTAAAAATGGAAAATTATTATGATTCACATTAACGGTGAGAATTGTATAGTGTTAAACCTTATAATGTTAAAATTCACACCAATATTATTTATTTAGAGTGCATGGTATGACGAAGGTGATAATTTTGTAATGAGTTAACTTTTAAAGTTATCATAGCTAAAAAAAGAAAACACAATTTTTACATTATCATCAAGTTAAGCGAGGCGAAGTCTAAAACTATAAGTCAAACTGGAAAATGGAAAAACCGAGCCTTGATATCGCGCATTTTTAATATTCACTCTTTCGAAATATTTAAAATACAGTCGAATGGTAAACTCATCGTTCGCTCGAGTTCAAGCGAGCTTTTTGCCCGAGTTCGCAGAATTTTAATCGTAATTTTAATCAGCGAGGTATTAAAAATTTTCAACCGTCAAATCGTACGGAACCGTAAAACATCATCGGCTCCATATTTCGCGAGGAACATTTCACGAGTGTATTACATTGGAATTGCTGTAGCCGCGTACGCAGGACATTGTGTACACGCGCGGAGTCGTGAAATCCGCGCGTTTTCCAACGGAACCTCGCGATGTATCTCTCGCCTTGGCACACATCGGGACCCGTCGTCGTTCTCGTCATCGTCGCACCGCACGTACGGTGCTCGTTCGCAACCTTGTTCGCGAGTCGTATTACGCCGGACACGTATTCGCGCGTCAATCAACTCGCGTACGTGTCGCGGATGCGCTCGCGGATCGTCCCGGCTCCCGGTTCGGCTGCAACGAAATTGGGAGGACACGCGCGTATGCACCCACAGCGGAAAGTCCGACTCAACGAGTGTTACACGTCACAGTGTTAACTGTTAAACGTTCCGGTTAACTGTAACGACGCTCCTTCGTGCGCTCCAAAGAGAAAGAAGGGAGAAAGATTCTCGCAGTTGCGGAGAAAGAATTTTACTAGCGGCAACAAAGTTGTGTGCTCGCGAAGATTGCAGCTTTCAAGTTCGAATCGTAAATATCAATCTTGCAAGAATAGGAATAAGACAAATTTTCTTCCTAAATTGAATAAAACATTCTATTGTCAGTTTAATGTTTACAATCATCTTCGACGTTTTACCATCATTTTATAGTTAAATGCTAATAATTTTTTTTTTTTTATGCCTTGTATTTTATGCTGTGTCACTTTTTATCTATTTACATATGCAAACCGTGCACTCTGCAAGCTGTAATTTTAAATGCAAATTTTACATATCGATTTCACAGACAAATACTGTGTAGATTA